CTCTTCTTTTGCCTTTCTCCTCACCGGGTCCCTTTCTGCTTCTAACTCTCTCCTCACCGCCTCTCTCTCTTCTTGGGGTATGGCCAAATCTACCTCCCTCTCTTCCCCCAACTCCAAGTGTGCGGTCCATTCTTCTGTTGTCTTCTCTATCTCCTGCTCCTTACTCGTGCTGGCTTGAACTCCTCTCCTTTCCAACGGTACTTCTTCTTCCACCTGCTTTTCTTCTTCTTCCTCTTTCTCCACCTCCGCTTATATAGCCGTCATCTTCTCCTCCTGCTCCTTCGTCCATTTCTTCAGCTCTTCCTCCATTTGCCTCTTCTTTGCCTCTTGCTCCTCCAGCAGGGCCAGCATCTTGGCCTGCTTAATCAGTTCCCTCTTCTCCATTCTCTCCCTCCTCTCTCGCAGGATAGCGACAACTCTCTCCTCTTGCTCCTTGCTGTAGGGGGTGGTACTAGTTCCAGACCTGAGGTCCACCATGGTGACGGTGCACAATCAACAGCAATTCTGCGCCTCAACACATAGACCAAACAGGTTAACTTCTATCAAGGGGTCTTGGCTCACTACTCAGGCCAGACTCACGGTTCTATGACCACACTCACAGAGTCCTACCGACCTAGACAAAACTGACAGGGAGATATGACTGAGTGAACTTGACTGACTTGACGTCAGCAAGTACCAGTGTGAAGGTGCATATCCACGGGGTAAGGGATAGGCCAGGGCATGGAGAGATGGTACCGGTAATCTTCTTGCTCCAGCTGGGTCGACGCTCCAGTCAACGGTCTTGGTCAACTCGCCGGTCAACGCTCCTGGTCAACACCGCGGTCAACTTCAGTCAACGCCTGGTCAATGCTCTTGGTCAACCTTCCACCCTTCCGGCTATGGTGTCCCTTATTCTTCTTCGTCAAAACCTTCGTCTTCTTCACCTTGGCTATGGCTGACTTCGTCTCCCTCTTCGTCACTTTCTTCTTCCTTCTCTCCGCATCTCTCTCTTTCTTCTTACTGATTGTCTTCTTTCCCAAGCTTGGCAGCTATGGCTGCCATACCCTCTTCTCTCTCTCTCTCTCTCTCTCTCTCTCTCTCTCTCTCTCTCTCTCTCTCTCTCTCTCTCTCTCTCTCTCTCTCTCTCTGTGCCTCGGGCTCTCTCTCTCTCTCTGTGCCTTGGGCTCTCTCTCTCTCTCTGTGCCGACCTCCCCTTGTACTCTGTTTGTGGTCAGTTTGTGTATTTGTGTGTGGAGACGTGTGACAATCTCGGTTCTCTTAACAGGATTTGGTC